TAAGCAATATTTGAACGTCGTGCATGTGCTCTTCATGCTCGGGACGAGGTGCTGTAATTTCATCAGCTACTTCACGCGCAGCCTCTTCAAAGATTTGCAAGTGCTCAGTGGGCTGTTTATTTAATTTGTCGGCAAGCGTTTCATCAAAACCAACCACATCCTCCATTTCAATCTCCAGAAAGTAGCGTCCATTAAGATAGTTCCGCTTTAAATTGTCTCTACACAAATATAAAGCTTGACAATCATAATTTTCCAAATCATTAAGCGAAACTTACCGATATTTATAAAAAAAATTGTCTTCATTAAAAGTACGAATGAACTCTTTGTACTTTTTTTTCACGGCTTGTAAGTTTATTTGGGCGCCATCTGGGGTTTGATCATTTCCAAAATTGTCTGAGAAAAATACGCCAGCGTCATCGAAGCCCTCCATTATGATAATGTATCAGTTTAATAACTAAAGATTACACAAATTGACTACTTCCACAAAAGCCGCCTCAAACACAATGTGAAGCAAGAACTGGCCGCCAAAAATATGTGTGCAATCGATATATTAAAACCGATTTTACAATGTGGCACAGCATTGCTTTTCCGATATTTAATTTCATTAACAACAGTGGTGTTACTGCAATTAAATAAAATCGTAATTCCAACTTACAATAATCATTAGTTTCAGTTCGAATCTACAAAATAATTAAATAACCAACACAAAACAAATCGTGGCCCCGTAAGGCCCCAAATTCAATGCATAGACTTCTTATAACTACTACAAAAAGAGCCAGAAATTTGCGGCCACGCCAAAACTGCCCATGACATGCCATGTCTTGACTCGGTAATTATGAGCCGAGCATTGCGATGGCAGTTATACCACACTGCAACGTTTTTACTTGTTTTTAACCCATGTCACGGAATGTGTGCGACGTAGAAGACGACAACGACCTCATAACGTCAACATGTTCTCTATCAACAGTCATCGATAGCTTAAAAATCGCTTTTGTTTGATATAATTGTTTGCCCTTAAATCTGAACTCGTGGATATACGCATTAGATAAGAAACTAAATTTTATCCCACAGGTTTATTGCTTTTTTTACAAAATAAGTCTGTTTATTTACTGATTGCTTCCTTAAGATATGGAGCCAAAATTATGTAGTCTTGCCGACTTCCGTTTCCATAAATCGCATAAATCGATATTTTGTCGCAGTTTGTAAGGTACTGCCACTGACCATACAATGCATGCCTTACTAACAGGAATACTGTGCCACTTTTTTACATGTCTTTCTTAAAAATTAAAAATATTGAACAAAGTAAGTATTGTTGTATATGTATATCATAATTAATATTTCAAAACAAAATCGAACTGCGTCTAGTATAGTGGGACTTTTCCCATTAAATTCTTATATTTTAATAATTGAGCATTCTTATCGATATTTTCATTAATTTTATAATACATATCGTAAATTTAATTTTCATATATCGATATGCACTCACCATCCCTAGTAGTGGAATGCTGGGTAGCACTTTTTCGCGTGTGTTTGGAGGGAGCAGACTGGTATCTTATACATTTCTTAATTTCTTTCAGTTGTCGCAAGTCACGCCAAGTAAAATTAAAAAATATGGTAAGTACGTCTTATTGAGTTGCGGTATCATGACTGAATTGAATTTTTACAGTCGTCAACAGATATAGCAATGGAGTCGAGTGTTGAGCTCGAGAGCGCGCCCGCGACCGGCCTCATACCAATCGGAATTGCTAACTCGAACAATGTATTAAAGAAAGTAACCCACACCAACGCCGGCGGCGGTGGCGCGGCATCTCCTGGCCCTGGCGATGCAAGTGGTAATGCAGACGAGATGACTTCGAGGGACTATTATTTTGACTCGTACGCTCATTTCGGCATCCACGAAGAAATGCTTAAAGACGAAGTCCGGACCGTCACATACCGGAACGCAATGTACCATAACAAGCATCTTTTCCACGGAAAGGTAAACTTTTTTTATTGGAGTATGACACAAGGTGGTATGTTGTGTATTTTGCCAAAGTAGATGTTTTCTCTTATCTAATATTGATATTTCTTTTAAGAAAAATACATATATCCGGTTGTTCGCCTTGCGAAAAACCAACAAGTTAGCATTGTTACAATTTTGCGCATTAAACACAACACCCAACAGGTCTCATAACCACATTGAGATTGAAATAAACTCAGACGAACTATACATTAAATTGTTTGCAGACCGTTTTAGATGTTGGATGCGGTACTGGAATACTATCCATGTTTGCTGCTAAGGCCGGAGCCGCCAAAGTTATTGCTGTTGACTGCTCAAATATAATAGAGTTCGCTCGACAAGTGATTATTGACAACAATTTGCAAGACGTAATTACAGTAGTAAAAGGGAAAATTGAGGAGATTGAACTTCCAAATGGTGTCGAGAAAGTGGACATTATTATTTCAGAATGGATGGGGTAAGATCTGTTGAGATTGTTTATAATAAATTACTATGAACTAAAGTTACTTTCTCAAAACTTTAGGTACTGCCTATTTTATGAGTCAATGTTGGACACGGTGTTGTATGCGCGTGATAGATGGCTCAAGCCGAATGGTATGATGTTTCCTGACAGGGGCACACTCTATATTACAGCTATTGAAGATCGCCAGTATAAAGACGAAAAAATTAATTGGTGGGATGATGTGTATGGCTTTGATATGAGTTGTATACGTAAGGTGGCGGTTACCGAACCACTCGTTGATGTTGTGGACCCAAAGCAAGTGGTTTCCACGGCGTGCATGGTAAAGGAGGTGGATTTGTACACAGTGCAAAAAGCCGATTTGAACTTCTCTTCAAAATTTAATCTTACTATCAAGCGTAATGACTTTGTGCAAGCTTTGGTCACGTACTTTAACATTGAATTCACCAAGTGTCACAAACGTCTTGGATTCAGCACTTCCCCTGATTCCACATACACACATTGGAAGCAGACTGTCTTCTATTTGGATGATCACATAACTGCCAAGAAAAATGAAGAAATTAATGGAACGTTTCAAATGAAGCCAAATGAACGCAACAATCGAGACTTAGATTTCGTCATCGATATAAATTTCAAGGGCGAGTTATCTGAAATTCAAGAATCAAATACATACCGCATGCGCTAGAGTAACGCCATTTTACCAATGTGGCCTTAAGGCTACTTGCCTTCTTTAGACAGAGGGAATTTAATGATGACTAGACGTAAGATATAATCCAGTGCGAAATGTGCAACGAATTTGTGTTGCGTCTTCAACTAAGTTTAAAGTGTACCTTTTTAGTATACATTATATTTTTACAAGTGTGCGCCTGTTTAAATTATGATTCAAGAGTACTTCTAAGAAAATTGTACAGTGGCACATAAGTCTCACATAAACAAAATAAAGTGTGCGGTAAGCACACAATTTTACTGGATTTTAAGCGCCTTCGCTGTCTACATGTTTTAATTTCTTTAAGATAAATTGTGTACATTTTCATACATTTTATAATAACGTCGAACTCAAAGCTTATATGAGCTTGAGCCTTCAAACTTTGAACGTAGATAGTTTGTACAATCGGAGATGGTTCCTTTGGCCAGTTACATACATTTCCACAAAATATACCCACTTCAAAATTTTTTTGTCCGAACGGCTTCGAACTTATTTTAAAATCTCAATATAAACAGTAAGCGTGCTCTAGTCGGGAGTATCCACAACCTTTTTCTACCAACCCCAAATGCAGCTCACGCTACGCACTCTTTTCAACTTTACCATCGTCTCATACCTTCTCAAAGCATTCTCAAAGAATTCAGTTTAGACGAAAAAAATGCAAGGCGTAACTTCACATTATCGACAAACTTTAGCACACAAGGAAAGGTCATTTAAGAACATATTGCAGAGTAGTGGTTGTAGATGACTGCCTTGGGAAACCCCAGAAATCAGCTTAATACATTTAGAGTATGCATTTCGTAAAAGAACCCTTTAAGTGCAGCTGCTTAGGTACTTTAAAACACAGCTAAGAAGAAGGTAGGTATAATATGAATAGTAACAAGGAGTGATGTGCTAGACTGCATCGATGACCTTTCTAAAATCAGCTTAGATAACGTCAGTCTGCATTCTTTCCTAAAACTTATAAAAAAGGAGTACAAGAAAATAAAAATATCCCTCAATTTACAAATATTCAAGGTTTTTAACACGGACTAAAATGGGCGGTAAGTCCATTTACAATGGCCTTTTTATACCCTTGCAGAGGGTATTATAATTCTTTAGAAACTTTGCCTCTTTCTGTTGCACGCAGTATAGATGTCGGAACCAGCTGGATCGGACCACTGTATCATATGGAACAATCAGTCGAAAATTAAGTTGTATGCATTTTTTTTGTTTTTTAAGATATCCTGACCGAACTCGACATTTATTAGTTTGACTATGCTTCTCATATATCCAAAATCCTATCAACATCGGACCACTATATCATATAGCTGCCGAGGGAACGATCGGTCGAAGATTAGGGTGTTATAAGGAAAACTTTTTTGTTTTTTTAAGATATCTTGACCATGCTCGGCAGTAACTATTTTCCCTGTGCTTGTTAGATACGGGCAAAGCACTATGAGCATTATGAAAAGGTTGGGTTTGCGAGGGTATTAAATCTTCGGCATGCCGAAGATAGCCCTTCTTTCTCGCCTTAATTGAAACCTGTATACATTTTAATATGGAAGTTACGAGCTAAGTCTCTTTAACCAAAACTGGCATCTATCAAGTTATTTGCTTTGAGACTGAACCTCCCCCCTTAAAATTTATTTTTTTATTTAAGAAAATTGTTTTTGAAAATTAGTATAGTTTGTTGCAGCGGATTTTGCGGAAATTGGTTTGGTTTAAGGTTCGGTTCGTTAAATTGGCGCTAATTAGAACATTTCGGTGCTACTCGAGCTTTTCAAATTATTTGAACCGTGCACCGGGTTATTTCTTTCAGAATTATCAAAGGGCAATCGTAAAGTTTTAATATTAAATAAAATAGATGTTTAAATACATGAAAAAAAAGTTTCCTTAATTTAATTACTTAAGGTAACTTAGTTCAGTTAAATGCTTGTTTTGATCCATTAAACATAAATTTGTTATTAGGGGTACCAAGTAGTTATATAAGTGACTAAGTTTAGAAAGGTACAATTTTGCTTATAATTTAATTGCTAGTTAATGTTTTTTATATCGATCACGTGAATTGGAACGACTTCTATTATCTCTAGAGAAGCTTCGAGGTGTCCGAGAACGCCTTGGTGAACGGGATCTGAAAGAATATGTGCAAGAAAACAATATTATCAGAACACCAATTAAAATATTTAAAGTAGGTTTCGTTGCTGGGAACAATTGAATTTGTAAACTAAACATTTTTGGCTGCCAGCTTTCCCAAATAGACAAAACACCTAACTTACAATGTTTCTCCCTTGTCGATAAATTGTGATCACATTGTTTAATAGCTTGAATTTAATCATATCGGGGATTTATTAAAGTGGGCTACGAACGCATTTATTGCGTTTTGTCCGATTTGCTTCAAACTTATTTACAAAGCTCTACTTAGGAACTTAAGAAATAAAAATTTCAGCGATTTGGGAAATCCCAACCGCAAGTGTTAAATTGGCGGACTACGCTTGTATGAAAGTTTTTTGCTTTCAAAGCTTTTTGAGGAAATTTAAATTTACCGTGCCACGGGCAAGGCCGGGTTATACCCGCTACTATATTTATAAATAGTCACGTAGTTTTCTTAAACTTTTCGCTGAACGACGCAATTTGAAATTAGGCATTCAAAATACTGCCAGTAAACTTTTAGTAAATTGCTAATACTTCTTTCAACAGGTATTTTTAAATAATTATGTCAAATATAAACCTTATCGGTTGAAAATTGTATAATTTATTGATGCTTGACGAATTTAGGTTTGAGATAATCGCGTCCAAAATTGTATGTTTTAAAGGTCGCGTGCTTCTAAGCTTCTAAAAAAAACTATTCTTCTCACACATTGTCCTTCAATACGTTATTATTCAGACCCTAAGCACCATATAAAGCAAACAGATCGATTTTTTGCAAATCTTAGATTGTAAAGTGAAACGTATAGAATATAATTGTGAATGATGGGCTGATTCTATGTAGCTAAAACTGGATATTTATATCCAGCTGATTTTAAAAAGCATTTTATATACGTTTTTATAAATCGAAAGACCTAAATCATTTAATACAAGTCTTCGACAAAATTAGAACATCTTTATCAGTAAAGATGGCGAGATTTGTATTATTATGATGGAAAAATTGTTGCTCGAAACCATGTTGGAGGAGCTGGTTGTGAGGATATTGGAAGAAAAGTTTTGAATTTTAAAGATGTTGTTCTTATAGTTGAAGGGGAAGGTAATTGTAAAAGTAGTTTTTAAAACACAGCTAAATATATTTTTAAATACAAAAATAATTAAAAGGAACTGATTTAACTAATCTAGAGCATTTAAAAAAAATAGTTGCACTTCCGAATTCTACATTCATCTAATCGCATATTTTATCAAAAATTTTAAATGCACGCATGTCTATCGATAGCAGTAATATTTGTATTAAAATAAACATGATTTTATAAAATTACCTAAATCGTCCATTACCGCGCCCACCACTATTGCCGCTTCCTTCGGCAACGCCACGCAGAGCTCTGTCGCGAGAGCGTCCTGAAGACATTTCTACACGGATTCTAGTGCCACAGCAGCGTGTTCCATCAAGTGCTCGGGTGGCATCTTCAGCATCTCGCCGATCTTCGAACTCAACAAAAGCAAAACCAGGCGGATTGCGTGCTATCCACACGTTTCGTAAAGGCCCATATTTATTGAATGCATTTTCAATCTCAAATTTTGATGCTGATGATCCCAAGTTTCCAACATACACTTTGCAGGTCAAGTCCCATTCCCGATAGCGTGACATACTGGCTAAGTGTTGATCTGGTTTTATTTTTGAATATGTACACCCTTAAAAGGGAAATGAACAAACAAAGGCAGTTAGGGAGCAGTATAATATTTAATACTTTTATAGAAACATGGCTTATAGTTTTTCAGTACGGTGGAACTTGTAAATGTTTAGTTTGGTGAAACACAAAATTTGTTACCATAAAATGCTAATTTTTCGATTGATTCCCTTAAAGTTTTGCGATTTTGAAAAGACTTTTCGGTCGTTGCTCCCGCTTGCTCAAACTTTACAATTTTTGATCTATTAAATGTGTAAGTATAAAAAAATATATTTTTTTATTCCGGGGTCGGATCGCAACCACCGAGCGAACTACTTGCCATCGCATCATTCATAACGGACATACAAACAATTTTTGTGGAAAAACATGCAATACGATCGCAACTATAATTCGATTGTTTGTATGTATAAATTATTGAGCTTTGCGCTAGCTGCCGTATGGCTTGACAACGTTCTTATTGTGCCATGTAATATTCTTAGATTTACAAAAAGACTACGAGCCAAAATTGTGACCCTGAGCGTAAAGAGGAACATTACATGGAAAACGAGCACTACTATCTGAACTCCAAGTCCATAAGGCGCACACTTTCCGACTCTGACGAGTTTTTGGTCGCAACAACCATGGCGACCCAAGATAACGATCTTAATGAAAAGCTTCAAGAATTTATGGCGCAATGTTGTCCCTGACGATCGCAAGCGCAACTTGGTGTCGATACACTTGGAGGAGGATTTAGCCATCACCATTGAGGTTCCCAATACACATTCACCTCAACGGCTTTTCGAAACAATTGCGGATTCGGAGGATTCAAAATTAAAGAGACTTCTGCAGGGTCGCGACAGAAATCCTTACCACATTCCATTCCAATATCTGCTCGTCCGATAATTTCTGCGGCGAGGAAAATTATTTAAATAAGCACAAACAAACTGCTACTGACGAGCAAAATCAGGAGAATCTTGACGCGGTCAGTAACCATAGTCCCAGAAAGTCGATAGCAGGACGAATTCCGTAAATGCCAACTGAGTTGCCCAAGTTAAAAACAGTTAAACTAGAGCAGCTGCCGTTTAATCAGGAGAGGGGCGGCATCATTTTTACGACCAGTCACCATTCAGCACATGCAAGGGGGGGCAAAACCACCGGTAGTTCATTCAGCTCTCAGGTGGATCTCCAGTATCAGATCGTCCACTGCGGCTGATGGGTGAGAAACTGTCATCTTCAAAAGCATAAATCCATCAACTGATCGACGAAGGAATCTGTCCCTATTCCAAAAGCCCATGGGTGATTCCGCTGCACATGGTAATAAAGACCATGGTATCATGGTAGTACATGTCGAGCATGTGACGATTACAGGAACCTAAACGCGATAACAAGTCCTGACCGTTATCTGATACCGCAGATACACGACAGAAATACTATTGACATGCTAAACACATTCTTTCGACTTTGGTCTAAGAACGTGAATAGTATCAAATAAGGATGTGCGTGCCAAAGATAATCTTTTTTTCTCGTTTAAGAACTCAAATCGTCCTTCGTAAGTTACGTTTTAATAAAATGAAATGCATGCCCATAAACTAACACACATGTAGAAGCAGAATATGATGTTCTAATATCAGTGGTAGAAGTTGGTATGTACATAATCATATTAATACATTATATGCATATAGATATGTAAGTTACAAGATTTTTAAGCATGTGTTATTTTAAGAGTAGCCTAAGCACTCACTTCATTTTTGTGTCTCATACCGATATTTATTATATTGAATGCAATTCGTATCAATATATCAAAATTTTGTTGAGGGTCAACTTACAATATACATACTTTTTAAATATTTTGCAACCAAGTATTAAAAACAAACAATATTAAATTACAATTGCAGCAAAGATGCCAGACTTTTTCAATTAGTGTGACCGTAGTCAAAAATAAATAAAATGGTTTCTTTTCAAAAATATGTTGGGTGTTCCTTTCATTAGCTTAAAAATATTTTGTAAGTGTCGATTTTAAATAACATAAAAAAAAACCTGTTTCCACGTAACAAATTGCTAATAACGTAGTTATAACTTTTAAGCTTATTATAATAATATTTTTATACTAGCACTGCGTTTGCATTCATACCATAATAAGTGCCTTTTAGTGCACAACTTATTAAAGTGGCTAGAGTGTTGAGTTTAGCAGACGCAGGCATATGAAATTACTCAAAATTTTAACCTTTCTATTTTTGCAATGTATTCAATGAACGGGAAATGTTATTTAGCTGATAACGATCATTTTTGCACTAGCAATCGGTAAATCAGCTGTGAAACTTGCCAGCATGTAAAAATGATACGTATATATAAATTGTATATACAATTTATTATACATGTCAGAGATATTATATATGTATATCATATTTTCACAGAACACAAAACAAACAGCAACTGATTGGATGTAGAAGTGTATGCATCCAGAGTAGAAACGCACTATGAATGAAAAATATTCATAACATTCGATTGCTGAATAATTTCTTGCGATAAGCCTATCGATTAGATCAGTAAATTTTTATTGATAAAATCAGCTGGTATAATTTCATAACCCTACGCTGTGAGATTTGTATATTTTGACATAAAACATAAAAATGCGGCTTACAAATAAATTATATGCACAACATATTGGTTGGCATTTTAAAAAGCACTGGCAGGTTCAAGGAAGGCGCGTGCCGAAGGAGACAGGTGCTGCCGCTGAGCTTCTGAAAATGGGAATTCAATTAAAAACGCCGGAGGAAGTGCTGAATCCACCAATAGAGTTCCAGTCGTAAGAATAGTCAATTTAATCAATTAACCATTTTAATTTGCCAAATTGAACGGGCAGTGTTGACATTGTTGGAGCAGTCCGGAAGCCGATTTCTGAAGACCAATCTCATCCAAACTGGCATTCAACCGCGTGCCATCGCTTTGGGGATAACAATGTGCTACTTGGTGGATTGCCGCAAGCCCAAGTGCTGACAAATACGATTGAAATAAATAGTTTTCCACAAAAAATAGAGGATGCTATACTAAGCGGACAGTATTCAAAGGTCGTTGATCGAAATGTTCAAAATGCTATATTTTCATCCCATTTGCTGGATGCGCAACAAGTGAAACTGCCAAAGACACGACTAATTGATCGACCAGCATATGTTTTACCACGCCTTTACGGAATCTCCCACGAAAGACGCAAGTATGTTTCGCAATATTTAGAGATATGTATATGTGTCTAGGTAAAAAATCTTGGTTTGTTATATCCTTGTAGAGGTGGTTTTAATTTTGAAATGAAATGTGTAACGCAGAGAAGGGGACATCTCTGACCTCCATAGCTCCGTAGGTCCACCCGGCTCGAACCATAATATAGCTGGCATATAAAATATTCTGTTTTTCAAAATATTTTCAGCATTGACGAGCCTAATTTTTCTCACGAATATGCAAAAAGCAAATGTTTACAAGGGTATTAAGTCTTCGGCGTGTCGAAAATTTCAACAATGCAAGGCGCAGGCAAAAACAAAGACACCAAACGCCGTTTCTCCCTTTCAGTTTGAATTCAAACCAATCTCTTAGTTAAAATGTAAATATTTCGCCCAGATCTTGTCCCAAATAGGGAATCTATTAACAATAGACTACTATTTAATATAGTGATTTCTTGTATTTAGTTTTGCTTGTTTTAAAAGCTAAATACGTCAAACTTATTCATTGAAAGTTTTTTGACGAAAATAATGTAAAATGCAAAAATTTTTCTCCAATAAACCAATCACTAATTTGTTTTACGAATCTCTGTTGCATGGTGAAGATTGTAAATATAAGACATATTCTATATATTAAAACAAAAACTTAAGATGTATTCTTTATGCGTTACTCATTACATAAAAAAATATACCATCTTAAAGGGTATTAAAATATGCCGATATTTTGAAATTCCGTGTACTGTATTAGTGTCATTTTTAATTTAAATAATGGTATTTATTTTTCAGTCGCCTCGTAATAAACAAGCTTCTGTTTGAAATCGAGAAATTATGTGGCCGCTCTGTGACTTTGAGTCGGAAGCTAACTGATTATGTCACATTTCAAACTTCATTATCTAAGGACAATGATTTACTCGCATTTACAATTAGTGGAGATAAATTAATAAGCTCCACCCGTGCTTTGGATGCTGTTAAGGGTAAATTTAATGGAGAATTACCAGATTTGTATCCGGTCAAGTGCACAGTTTCAATGCAAAAGCAGCACATATACACGGAGAAAAATTTCTATCGTAAGTTAACTTTTCGGTTAAGTCAGAAACCATAAAATTATATTATGCTTCAAATTTTAGCAATTCGCTCAGAAATAAGCTGCTCCCATCCACATACAATTATAACGTTTTTTGATAAAACAATTGTGAATAACGTACACGGTGCTGATGTAACAAAAAGTCAATTTTATGGACGTACTATGCTGAAGGCTTTTATTGCAGCTGTAGCCCGCGCTAAACAGTTGCACGGTGGTTCTGCCAAAGGGGATCTTCAGAAACCTATTGTTGTACAATGCGTGCAGACGGACGGAAGAGTGTTTCATTTTGGGGTGTTCCAACTTAACACTCTTAATCTAAACTCTAACAGCACAACGAAAAACTATTGGTTCCATCGACAAAGTGTAGAATTGTTTACGGAATGTTGTTATAAATCTGGAAGACCACATATAGAGGGGTTCAACAGCGAACCTTTTTATATATTAAACGCGTTTTATCACAACGTTTAAGTATAACCTTAACTTCCTTTCAACAAATAAATATTTTTTTGTTATGATGTGGTCGTGTCTATTATTTAAGCGAGAAAGAAGGGTTATCATCGGCATGCCGAATGGCCTTGCAGGCCCAACCTTTTCGTAGTGCTCATAGTGCTTTGCCCGTATCTAAGAAGCACAAGGAAAATAGTTAAGATAATTTGAAAAACTAAATGTTTTTCATACAACTTTATTTTCGACCAGTTTTCAGAAGTAGGAAGATCGAACGTTTGTTTGTTTGCAGTCTTGGAGAGCGTATTATAGTTTTGTCAAGAATTGTTTAAGCCATGGGAGACATGTCCGACCCCGTTAATTATAACATATATAGCATTGATTAATTAATTGTCCTTTTCTATGCGAACCAGTCTTAATAATACCCTGAACCCATTGAATATGTGTAAAAAGGGTATTATGTATTTGTGCAAATGTATGTAACAGGCAAAAGGAAGCATCTCCGACGCCATGGAGTATATATATTTTTGATCAGTATCTACAGCCGAGTAGAGCCATGTCCGTCCGCCCATCTGTCCCTAAAATTTTAGCTTTAGTCTTCCTAGTACCCGCGCAGATCGAGTTTGTTTCCGATAATCGATAGCGTTTCTAAGCAATCGATAAATATCGATATCGAAATCCTGTTTTTTGAGCAAATTGGGTAAAAAATAAGAGCTAAGTCACCAAAAGTGATATGTTTATTTTAGAATAGTATATATGTATCAAGAATCTTTCATTTTATACCTATCGCCACCTCACCGCTACAACCTAGTAGCTAGCGCAAATTCAAAGAATTTTTGTAATACACACACTTTCATGCGCGATTGCTTCCAATTCTATCAACAGCATTGCAATTACGGTAGTATTGTTTTCTCAAAAATTAGTAGTTGGTGTGGTCATTGAGTAGAGGCGGTGGCAGGTTGTACGGTCTGTCGCAAGTTCGAACCCTGCCAAGGGAACTTTTTTTATTTTATTTTTTTTACTTCAAACGAGCGTGTAGCGGGAGCTGAACTTGGCGTTGGAATAAGAGGGTTCAGAGTATTTCCTAGTAGGGAGCTCCCGACTGGCACATCTTACTTGTTATGCTATTTTTTTATTGAATTTGTATGTATTTAGGTATACACCTCTAAAGTGAATTTAACACACGCTTTTATGCAGGTGGTATTTAAAACGGCGTATCCCATGGCAACGAAAATAGTGCAAATCCTAATTTAGAGTTGTTAAAAGGAAATAAACAAGTCAGTAATATGAGGAACGTTCAGCAACAAGAACAAACTATTACCAATAACAGTGCAACATCATCCGAAAATAGTGAGACACAAAGCGTGGAAGAGCTTCAAAAGGGTTTGCCACCAAACAATCAGAGTGCGGCTCTAATCAGGTACGTTTAGAATGTCAATTCATGATTTGAAATACTTCATTGTATTTAAAGCGTTTTATTTATAATTATATTACGCAATATTTTCTATTTGTGAGCCTTCAAACATTATAATGGTTCCATGCTTTATAAATACATATACAAGCAGCCATTAGCGGACCACGCTTTTACATTTCATAAATGACATTTCCAATCAATTTTTCCAGCCTTCCTTGAACCCCCCATTCCACTAGTGATATTTATTTTCAGGAATAACAATATTTGAAATCGATATATTTCTACCCCTTTTTTTTTGTTCTGGGAATTTCAAAGACGTTTATATGTGCATATATTTAAACTAAATTAGTAAATCTAACATTTTTTATTTAGAGCGAAAACGAGTTGGAAACGCATGAAGGAGCTAGCCGCAGAAAAAGAAAAGGAAAATGAAACTAAACGACCTCCTTGGCGAGCTGTTAGTGTTTCAACTCTCTCTAAGCCGGATAAAAATGCATTGCTCCGGGCTAAATTGCTTGATGCTTCCAGGTTTGTTCATAACACCTCAGAGCATGAAAACAATGTGCCTTCAAACTGTTGACTTTTACTGGATATAGACGTTTACGAGCTGGCAAGACCAATGTAGCGCTACAAACTGATTTCATTCCCACTAAAGTGATGAAAGAAGCTGTCACAGGTGTCCAGGATGATATGATTTTATTTAAAGATATTGGAATATTAACGGATGGCCAATACTCAATTAAAAAGGATAATAATCAACAATGTATAAGTACAAAATGGAAAATAATCCCTTTAAGACTAACACGTAATTCTTTCAGATGTATTAACCTATTCCATATCGCAAATGACCGACCGTGTCGACAAAACAGATGTCTCAACACAAACGCTTTTACCCAAAGCATATAATAAAAGCATTATCAACTCAAGTCTATTTGACTTTAAGCTTTACGGCAAGGATGACGCTTGTGACTTAAATAAAAAAAAAGAGTTTCAAATTAATAATACCCATAAGAAAAATACAGCGTTTAATCCAACTCTAGGCATACATGATATACACTTGAATCCTACTTTATTATCGTGGCAATTTGATGATGACGCTATTGAAATGGAGGTAAAAGAAAGTTTCATACCCTATACTATTGAGTCTTTTAAGCCGTGGCGCAGTTTTATGCCTATTCCGTTTTATATAAGGAGCAACAACTTGGTGGGCAGGCAGAAAGTCGACTGGGGTTTTCTGCTCCAGTCCATTGATGACTTAGTGCGAGAGTCAAATAATTTGCTAGATAGGTTGCAAACAATAATACATCATAAGAATTTGCAACGTAAGCATGTGCATAAAACAATGGATGAATTAAGAAAGTTCCAACCAACAAATTTCATATTTCCATCTGACTACTGGCTACCGATAATTGAGAAACAGGAAACACAGCTACAACTATTGCTGGACACAAAATAAAAACATAGTCTTAAACTTTAAATAAATATCCCAAACTATATTATTATATGATGATCTCAATAAAAACATTAAAAAATATTATAGTGGCTTCGTGTATATATATATAATACTTAGTAAGTAGCTAGAGTGAAGGTTTTTGTCTTATCATATGTCCCTGCAATACTTCATTATTGCTAAATATCGAGTTTAAGCTCAGGGGTTTTCAACTAGAAACATTAAATTTGGTACGTATGCTGTTGATCATTGAGTAATAAATGGATATCTGTTGATATAATTCAATAAAGACGCGCATGAATGTGTGTGTTTGCATATGTATATATAGAAATTCTTGCAATTTAGGCTATTTGCCCCGTTTGGCACGTGGGCAGCCAATATTTTTTTAATAAATTTTGTGTTTCTCAGCAGATCTTGAAGAATCACAATTGTATGAGTGCCCACAGATTCCGACCCCTAGCCTAACCGTCACCGAACCGAGTAGTGTTTCTTATATGTCCTCAGTCGGACGTTAGGCCACAAACATTCCGGAGCAAGTTCTGAAATGGGGTATTAGGTACGATGGCCGATCCGACCCCATTGGGTTCCTAGAGGACCTAGAGGAGCGGGTCATCACATATTGCCCTCGACCGCATACCTCGGGCGCTGAGTGAGATATTCTGCAACAGGGCCGTTCGTTGGTTTTTGAGTAGAGGGCTAAGGAATGTGCCATGGTCAATGTTTAGGTGTGGTTTCTTGGAGTTCCTTCTGCCACCGCGCTATTTTGAGAGGCTGGAAGATGAAATCCGATCAAAGAATACTTGATAGAACTGAGGGCTCTAATGCATCACAGCGGATACATGGGAATGCCGCCCCCGAATACAGGGCTTACGTGCGACGGAAAGATTTCTCCACCCTGTACCAGTTGACGGATGGCTGTGGAGTACGAGACGGTTTTGAGACAGAGAGTGGGATACTCGGGAAACAGTTCGAGTAGCGTAGCGAAGCGAATGGTGGAGGACAGTACAGCCCACGGGGGGATACCTCAACCCATTCCTGTCTACTCTCAAGTATATTTTATTCTACAGCTTTAACTAAGTCGCAGCGACTTCTACATTTGCAGTAAGATTGGTTATGAAAGACAAAAGGTAGTGAAAGAAATGTAATGTATGTATATATTTTTTTGCAGCCCATGTGTCAGCGACAGCTAGAGCAAAAATGTATGTATACGTGTACGCACAAGCATTCACGTGCGTCCTTATTGTAATCTATCAACAACATTGTAATTGCGATTGTATTGTTGTCTGTGCTGCTAGTTTAAATTAAATCTCATTAAGACTCAATTGTTGGTGTGCTGGTTGAAAAGAGGCGCTTGCAAATAGTGTGGTCTGTTACATAGTGTGGTCTGTTACAGCTGTATTTGGCGGGAACTCCCGACTATAGTCTATTACGTGTTTTTTATTCATTATATTGAACGTGTCGAGTGTATAGGCGTGCGCTCCCAATGCACAACATGAATGTTAGGCAAAATGCGCCCAACCGCCCAACAATTTACCGCATACTCATAGTAGTTTTAATTCAAACCTCAATTCTTTAATTTTTTATTTAAATATCTTTAATTTCCCCTTTCCAAGTCAAAATTGTATCTTTTACATAATATATAATTTATATTCCTCTAACAAATTTTATGCTTTTAGTTCGGTATCAATTTCTGTAGATTTTAACTTTGCAAGTTTTTGTTTCTTGGGTAGTAGTTTCATAAGAATGTTGGTGGCCGATTTACTATCTAATGGACACGATAGGTAAAGCTCTTCACATGCCTTTTCATTTGTTTCCTTTCCATGTTCCAATGCTTCTTTAATTGCAGTTCCGTCCAAAAGGTAGTCTACAAGCGAATTTCTATAAATAAAACAGAAATAGAAAATCAGCCAATGTGAATGGATATATTTCTAAAAGCACCATCTGATGTTACCCGGTTATGTCTAGGTGGAAATAAAAAATAAATAGCTCTTGAAAGGTAAAAAATTTGCCCAAAAACCCAGGATTTCGATAACGATTCCTATCGATTGCTTGAAACGGGACAAGTTATCGGATATCGGAAACGAACTCGTACTACTCATTTCAAGTCTTTAGCTCTAAGGCTCTGAGCTCCTTGCGTTCATAAATACGGGCTGGAGGACAGACAGACGGTTATGGCTACATCGACTCGGCCATTGATGCTGATCAAGAATATATGTACCTTTTGGGATCGGAATGATTCCTTCTGCCTGTTACATACATTTGTAGAAATATATTCTATCCCTTTGAGGGGTATACAAATTGCACTCACAATATTAAAAAAATCATTTTTTTTTATCAACGATTTTCACTAATTTAGTACGCAAACAAAAAACAAATACTTACATATAGCATATTTTAACTTACCTGGATAGCATGTGAATAAATTCATCCACTTGGTCGGATACTCCAGACTTTATATTCTTTTCCGTAGACCGCACATAGCCACAGACAGCGCGTTGCATGCAGCTTGTTGAGTCGATGTTATTTTGCCCAAGCACACTTTCAATTTTGCTTATCATACTGCCTAAGGAATCCAAGTCATTTTCATCCTCACCTACATACGTATGCATAGTGTTGTCAGTATTGTGAATGATTTACACGATTGAAATATACATTTTCTACTTACTACGTCCGTAGCCACCGTATCCACCATGAAATGCTGACAATATTTTCGGTATTAGAATTATTGCACCAATACCTACAAGGGTGCCCAGCACAACCCCACCTAGATCCAGTTTTATGGGATTATACGCAGAAAGTCCTGAGCTACTAGGGTATCCCTATATTTGAATGAAGTATGTTCACCATAAACAAATAAATATGAAATGTCACACATTTGTGTTAAAGGCTCCAATTTTAAAGACATACATTTAAGCTTCCATAACCAGTCGTGTAACCAAGCCGTTCCAGTCTATCTTTAGTTGACGCAGTTTCCGGCTCCTTCAGCCGAGTTTTGTTTTCATTCTCATATGTTCGACTCCAGTGCGTATTTTCTGTGTAAGTTCTGAAAATCAATATTCAAAAAAATCAATAATTAAATATGCCCTGTGTCGAGTTGCCATTACAAACATTCTTACTTCCTTCTTAACATATTTATATATACAGTTAAAAACATACACTCGCCGCTTTATGCGCTATGTAGGCAGCGGATGTACTTTTCGCCCAAGGCATGAATATGGCACTTCAATATGTTTAAAAAAAAAAATACAAAATGTGATTTTTTTTTATTTTTTTAAGGGTTGGGCTAGGTATCCAAAAAGTTAAATCTTCTCATTCTTTGTATACTACTTATATAAGTATCTGGTTTCGGTAATTTCGAATTATGTTTAAAAAAATCTCAAAATGGTTTACCGATTGATATAACATCATGAAAATTATGGAAATATCGAAAAAGAGATTAACACATAGTAAAATTGTTATTTATAATTTCAAGATTGTAGTTTTTGAGACCGGCCTCCATTTGCACAAAATGATTTGGCATACCAGCGTCATAGAGTATATAGCGTAGATAAATTTTTATTCACAGCTCGAAGTAAATTTTTAAGGGGTAACAGTTTTGAAATCATAACCAAATAATCAGAAGACTCTTTTCATTTGATTTAATCAATAATAATTAATGTGACGACCTTTTACGAACTTAGAGGAAATTTCTGATCATTAAAAAGTTGGGTAATACAAGCGACATGTACATATATGTACTTGAGTATATATATTTAGCAAACTCACTTTGGTTTGCTTTCAAATTTTGGAATCCCTTCTGCAATGGTTAGGAAAAACAATATGCAACTAAGGTGCAGAACGGTTAACTTTTTAGTATCCATTCCGAAATTGATTGTGAGGTTTTCTTTGTGTGTGGTTTTCCGCCCGTAAGTGTGGCCTCAGCTCTGCGACTTTAAATTTCAAACTAATAATTTTTAATATGTCTTCGCTTATATTTATATGCGCGCTCTTGCTGAGTATATGAATATGTTTAGTGAGTTACTTAACGATTCCAGCAATTTGTAAAAAATATAAATTGTAAGCCTAGTGCTGACTATTATTCGGTTTATGCATGTGTGCATACACACATGCATATATATAAATCATGGCTATTAGGTATAGACTCGTATGGTTGCAAGCAGGTTGTCGCACATAAAAAGGAAATCATTGTAGCACAACGACAAGCTATTACATCTACACCAGCATACCTATAAACATACACACAACGTTAAATATGCCTGAACACATTCTCTTCATACACAAGCTATACTCAATTATTTCACAAAATACATGCAGAAAGGTTGTATGTCTGCAATAACTTAAAGCGACATTAAATTACACGATATTTAAGTGTGGGCTTGTGACTATAATGCGCAGCAACATCTTTGACAGTTGCTGGAATATGTGGAAGTCTTTGCACCTGCAACTCGCACAATCTTAGGATGCACTCGACCAAAAAATTTCTGGTATTAAGTCACTGACTGTTGCGCTACAGGGCTTCCTATTAAGTACTTATTTGTATATTTTTATTTTCATTCAATTACACAGATGGAGCTTCAGTCTTTGCAACATTGACAGCTTTATGTTGAAATATCCGATTCAAAGGTGTCTTGTCATCAACCTTTCATCCTGTGGATAACTGGCCACCTATGATAATAAATACCGAAGGTTAGGTTACTGGAAGTGCCATTTCCACTTGTTAACTTAACAAACAAAAATAATTGATTGTATTTCAAAGTTCTAGTTAATACTGTACACCTAATTGTAAAATTTAAATTACCTTTCTTCGATATTGATTTTTATCGATATCTTTGAAACCGAGCAAGTTGTCGATTATCGGAAACAAACTCGATCTGCGCAGGCACTAGGAGCACCTACAGATAAAATTTCAAGTCTCTAGCTCATATAAGTTCTGAGATCCTTGCATACGGATAGATGGACGGACGGACCGGCAGACGGACATGGCTAGATCAGCTCGACTATGGATGCTGATCAAGAATATATATAGTTTACGAGGAGATGCTTGTTCTGCCTGATACATACATTTGCACAACTACATTATACCCCTTTAACCTTATGAAAATAGCTTTGACGACAATCGGTTGAAATTTCGTAAAACATTTGACCTCCATTTCCCCTAAAATTGCTAGAAAGTTGAAAACTGTCAGTCAGAACAACAGTTATATATACATATGGAGTTTCATATGTACATATATATTACATATATTCAATTGTCTAGGCATTTTTTGTCAAACTTCACAAAAATTTGGCGAACAAAATTTAGTAACGAACATAATATTACAAAATTCGAATTTAAAATGAATATTTTAATAAAATGGGTTTTGACTTAGAGCGCATTTGTTGTAATCCACCATCTAGGTAAGTTTATCTAAGCGATTGATTTTTATACTCTTAACTCTTTGAAAATGGGTAAAAAGGCATAAAGTATTTGTAACTGGCAGAAGCAAGTATTTACGATCCCATATATTTTATCTTATTATTTATTTTGTATGCAGTTCATCTAGTACAGAAAATATTTTTTGCAACGAAAACTTCAACAAATGCAGTCCATGCTGTTGTCATTCCTGCTGTAGAAAATCCTTTTTGAATGACCATACCTATTCAATACTTAAGCGGGTTTGCCATAAGATAATCAAAAGTTACAATCGACAGCAATGCCGTGAGAAGTATACAATATTCGACGGAGGCAACAGCATAAATGGCCGATGGTCAGAGAGGCAAAAAGGTAAGTGCTGATTTAAAAAAAAATTAAATTATTTACAAAATATACAAATGAAAAGATCAATGTGACAAGAGCAAAATTAAATTAGATGAAAAGTCTTGTAAAGAGAGAGAGGTCGGAGAAAAATTTAAAAAGGGAAAAGATCGTGGCGAAAATGAAAAAGATGATTATTCAAAGTTGGGAAAAGGACGTGGAGATACTCGAGCCAAAAAAGATGCCGACGAAAGCGATCCTATGAAAAAATTAAAAAAAACAGGCAGTGGTGCAAAGGAGGACAAAACTGAAAAATTGGATTCTTTGAAAAAATCAAAGCGCGGTAAAAAAGATGCGGATGAAAACGATCTTGTAAAAAAATCAAAAGTTCCGGGCACAGGTGAAAGAGATGATAAAATTAACGATGATTCATTAAAATCGGAAAAACCAAGAGGACGCGAAAAGAAAATTGGTAGTGATTTAAAAAATGCAAGGCCATCGAATAGCATAGCCGACAAAGAAAATGGTAAAAAAGGCAAAGAAAAAGCAAACAAAAAAGAAAAGCAAACACCACTAAACGAAACTGACTTAAACGCAAAATCTGAAATAGAAAAAAAAGGCAAAAAGACAAATGACGAGAAAGGACAAGGGACAAAATATAAGCAAGCTCAACATTCCGAAATTGAGGAACCAAAATTTGATAAGAAATCTAAAAATCTTGATAAAAAAGAGAATACAAATATTGATGCGAAAAAAAAAAATAGAAAATCTAACAGAGACACCACTGGTGCACATGAAAGAGACAGTCGGGAGCCTGACAAGGACCAAAAATATAAATTGAATCGAAAGGGTGATATCCGTAGCTCAAGAAGAACGGGTCAAAATATAAGAAATCGGAAATCAGGTCGTACATTATCTAGAGGAAATAGCAGATCGAGGTTAGGGAAAGGTATCAAAGGATCGAAATTCATACAGGACAACAGGAGATCGAACATAAATGAATCTTACTCTCGGAGACCTAGTCGCGTTGATGAAGTTCGAACCTGTGATATCCTTCGTGTTCACTTGGAGAAACGCGACCTTTCAAGATGGTACTCACTCTTTATTCCGAAAATCGCAATTTTATTTTTACTAATTATCTTTCTTATAGCATTCCAAATGAATGCAAGGTTTGTCGAATGTGTATTCCTAATTGTATGCCGTGCCCACCAGTTATCTGTTGAACACAGGATGGCTGCTGTGATAGCATTCGGATGTATTCTACGGACTCACCTGGAAAAAACTCTTTATAATGGTATGCCTTTTTTTATTCCTTTTAACTTTTAATTCTTAGAACATTCTTATGTATCCTTTAGCAGGATATATAATTTTATTTTAAAGTGTGTATCTCACAAAGTGGACATCTCCAACTCTGTTAAATATACATATTTATAATGAGCTTCAACAACTAAGTTTGTTAAGCCATGTCTGTGTGCGCTTGTCTGTGTGCTTATCTGTATATAGTATAGTCCCCCAACTTCCGAAAACTAGAAATTATTAAAATTTTTGAAAATAAAACAAAATACCTAGCGACGAGGCATTTTAGCAGTTCAATACGTTAAGAGGTTTTAGGTTTATCATGTTGAATAAATATAAGATAATATAATATATTTTTATTAATTAATAGCTTAATGACTTACTCAACGCTTTGATTTCCAGAAAGAATTATAAAATATGCCAACGAGTAAACGAGTTTCAATAGCACTTTGGGCTGAATATGGTGTTTTGCATTTAATATTTTAAAATGTCTAAGCTTTTGAATATAAATAAAAAAATATTGTTTGGTTGTTGGAAATTAAGAAATCAGTTTATGATATGGTTGGGTGATTATTAAGCTTGGGCGTTGGAACTTCCGGAATCTCTGAGACTTTGTGATAAGCTTACGCTTGGCGCTCGGACTTGGTGTGAAGGTTGCGGTGTGGGTGTGAGTCTTGGTTTGATTGGTTGGTGGGGACGAGTGAATTGTATGGCTGGATTGGCGATTAATTACATAAAAAACTAATAATAATGTTATCATTTTTAAAAGAGTATATAATGTGTACAAAAAAGCACTAACAACAAAATAACAAGAAAAAAAATATATATATATAAAACAATATTGAGCATAATAAATAAGTCCGATATGGTCGATGTTCTTGTTGGTTTAATAATGTATTTTTCTTGGATATCTTAGTAGGTGGCCCGATCTTATTGCTAAGCTTCAAAATCCTTCCATTATCAGTTTGCAGTTCGGAGAGTTTGCGGAGTTCGCTGATTGTCACGAAAAATGCTCTTGCTAGCGTTTCTTAAATTTTGAGTTTTAGCTAAGCTTTCTTTGAAAGTGTCTACTCTAATTAAAGGATATCGATAGCCGTTATTACTTGATTTCTAACAAATCATTTTAACAAAATTAGCTAGCCATAAACATCAGCGCTTGCTTATGTTCCACGTTAATAAATATCACTTTTATTATATGTGTTACAGATTCAATAATAATAATAAGAATAAGTTTCTCATGAACAACGCTCAATAATGTATTGAGCTTTGTTTTATTTATCTTTTCATTTTAAACAGTATAAGTTGTTATTTTTTTATTTTATTTGTTCAAAATGACACGTTTTAATACAAAGAAGTCTCTTAGTTTTAAAGCTTTCGTCTAGAAATTTGCATTGGCCAGTCATTATGTATTGCAGGCAGGACATGTCAGATCGGACCGCGGGAGTTGGATGAAAAAGCTTTTTTTAAAATTTTCAGCACAATTTTATGCCGGGATGTAAACATGCACCTAGCTTGAGATGCATTTGACACTGATAGAAAATTCAGGGTATCCCCTAGTCGTACATTCCCGCCTAGAGTAATCTTTGTTTTTTTCTGTCATCTTCCTCTCCCAAAAAGAACGGAATGTCTGAAAAAGAATGACGACTTAATAACATCGAATGTTCTAGATTTCTGTCGTGAGTGTGCATACAAAATTCTCTTTGCTTCGTTTGTCGCTATTCGCTCTCTGTAATTGTGCTTTTGATCTTGAGATTTCAAGGCAAAAGCATCTTCGTTGAGAATTAATTGTAATTTTAACTATTTACTTTTAGTTTAATTTAATTTTGTGCTGCGCTCTAAGCAAATGAAAGTTATTGTGCAGTGGAAGTGAGGTAGCACCATATTTTGAATGGCACTTGACCACTAGAACAAAATTTCAAAATAAAATAAACTTAGGTGTAGGTCACGTTTTTGATTTATTCAAACATCAACATTTTAATGGTTGTTAACGTCCATGGGGCTCACGGAATGAATTGCAATGATGTACATATTTCCATATACAAGCCTACTACTACTTTCGACCGATCATTCCTATGGCAGCCATACTGAGACTAGTTTGCCTCTACGCGCTCAAAATTACAATACCCTCTATAAAGCAAACCATCGATTATAGCGATAATGCAGTTTGGGTAGGGTAAGGTTGAAATATGGCATCTAAACAAAATTTAAACAAATAAAAATAGTTGTTTATATATTTTTTATATAATAATTTATATATGACAAGCTCGTTTTGTATATGGTATAGGAGAATATGTGTTGCAAGTATCTAGCTTTTGTTGTTTTTAGATTAACGTGTTATATACAAGGGATATATAGATTTAATTGATTATTTAGAAATCAGGCGCAATAACATATTAATATATACATATACGTTTTCTTCAGCTATATAAATACATTTGCACAAAACTATTATATTTTTTTAATGAATACGTTACATCTATGCAACTAAATTGTTTTTAAAGATCTAGTTAAAGTAAGAATTCAAAACTTTTCGCAAACGGGCGGTAAACTGTTGACATTAACTGTTTTTTTTTTCTACCGTTAATTTGAAAATCAATTTTAGTGAGATCCAAGGTCGGAAAATGTGTGAAATAGTGTAATATAAAGCTCTTTTAAGTTTTATAATATATTTTCAATGACTTTTTAAAATTATTCAGAGGTGCTTCACACTAAAAATACGAAAAATTCACTAGTTGGATGCTGTGATAGGAGTATTAGATAAGACTGCAAAATAAAAAATCTTTAATTTACAAAAGGTTGAAGGAAAAAAATGTATCTGAAAAATCCTTGGCATCGGCAAGGCCGCGGAATATCTGCTAATTATACAGACATAAAGCTTTAAATATATAAACATTGTTTATTCTTATTTTTTTTATTTATTTCTGGACACTGATTAAGGTTAATGTCATGAATTTGTCGTTTTTCGCCTTGTTTTTATTTATATATTTGTATATGTGTGTGTGTGTGTGTGTAAATGGATATAATAAGTATATATATACGTAATATACAATATATACATTATGGATATAAATATAATTATGCATCTTATTACCTTGACTAAATCTATATTTGGGTCTAAAAGTATTTAAAAAAAATAGATGCTCGAATAGCAAATACCCTATAGCAATACCTTATTCGATTACGTAGTAAATGTTTCAATAAACGCGCTCAAACAGCAATAGCTGCTAACCGAATAATTTTTTTCAACATTTCTGGTGCACAACTAAGAGATACCCTGAACGGAGCGCCGAAGTGCCTTTACACACATTCACCCGTCCTCGTTACATACATATTTAAATAGACACATACCAAGAAGCGCCTCTAACTGCGTACTTAATGCAGTGGCCGTGGTTCTTCTTTCCTTAGCTCCAAACTGTGGGAAATACATTCCTTATAAAGTATGATGTTGACGTGCGATTCTTAAAAAATTGTCAAGGCAAAAATTTTGTGTCCGAAGCCCAAGCCCAAAATTCAATATTTGGGGTAAAGGAAATTGTATTCAGAACATCTGTGTATATTATATGGGATCCTATATTGCAAACCTGGTGCATCTAACTCTTTTATTTGTCAGGGTATGCCCTTAAGACAATGTCTTTTGATATTTATGGATATCTAAAGAATATAAATATAAAGATGGACAATGATCGATGGGCCTTATATTCTTTTATAAGCTTTATGGGGCTTTGTTCTGCAGAAGTGTGAAAACAACTTTAATACCATTCATACCCATTTTCTACGGGTTTATTTTAAATACGCTAGAGTGCTCTAGTTGGGAGTGCCTGACTAGGAGATACCCTAAGCCCGCACAGAGCTACCTTTACAAAACAATCTAGATACTTCTATAGAAAATCACATGCATTGCAGATCCCGTTTTATTTAGGGTATCTTCTAATCGGGCACTCCCGTCCAGCCTACTGTTGTTAAATGTAAACTGTTTATTGAGCATAAATCATGAGTAAAGCAAAGTATCTTGCTGCATATCTTTTTATATTTTTTTTTATCAAAATGCTTTGATATGCTTTCTGTTTTTCTACGTTTTACAGTTTAATATTGTAATATACGTTTATAGAAGGTGTGTGCATGCAACAATATATAGTTGTTTATTTATGTACATTCATATGAATATCTTTGCGTGTGCAAAACGAAAAATTTAACGATTTTAACATATGTACACACATACAAATTATAAAAGAAATCGCACGCTCTTCATTGACATGAGAGATTTAAATTTTTGTTATTCCAAAAATAAATTTAATATAGCCAATGAAAGAGAGAAAGAAAGAGCGAAAGCTTTTCAGATTTTTGTAATTCAAAAATTATAAGAAACCATTCTATCCAGCTCTCTAACAGAACGACTCGAACGGGCATCAAGTTAAGAACACGAAAGTCGAGATACCTGAATCGATAATAACGAATAAGTGATTCTTACTGATACATTTTAATCATATTTGAAAATTAAATATTTAAAATGGTTTACGAAAGTGGATTTACAACCCGCAGAACTTACAGCTCCAGACCGGTGACTACGTCGTATGCCGTAACGGTAAGTTTTAAATTTTAAAGCAACGCCAATGTTGGCTTGGCCAACAAAAGTAATGAGGTTTTCATTCCATAAAATCTGTTAAATTAAATTGTTTGAGACTTGTGCAATATGTGCAATTTTTCATGCATGCATATACATAGAAAACCGATGCAGCAGATAAGTTTAACGTTTTATGAAGTGAACTTCATCATGTATGGCATTAGCTACACTCCAATGAATATGCGAAGTACGTTTTTTATCGCTTCTATCCTACTTGCTGTATTCCGCAATTTCATTTGAGTAGAGTTCAATCAGTTAAAGAAATTGAAACACGTTTGAGCACAGAAATAACGTATAATCTAGTGTAAATAAATACATATGAATATCGTATTAGGATTAAAAAGCACAAATGCATACATATGTATTTGCTTAAATACATACACATGTAAAAACTTAAGCTTACAAAGGTACTTACTTACTCACTTATTTGTGTTTGGACACTGGAATTTTATACCCTTTTTAGCCATTTTTAATGGTAACAGTTTTATTTATATACGTAGCTTACAAAAATGTATGTATATTTACATCTATATATATAGTATATATACATTCATACTACACTCATGTAAGCTACGTATATATTTATAGATATATATAACTAACTAAGTGTTCAATATTATGTTTGACTTTCCCTGTTTTTGCATACAGATATAGGCGAACGCCTGACCCACTTACAAACTGACTATGAGCAAGTACATATGTACTATATATATTACATGCCTGCGCAATGTAAATGTATTAGTTGAAAATTTAAGAATTAGCATTAACAAGTTCAAAATTGTGTAAGTATGATGGTATACATTTTGAAATGAAGTACAACTAATCAGTCAGATTGAAAAATAATAATGTTCTTGACAAGACTACTATATTTTTTCCGTTACCTTGGACTGCACTGAGAATTTTTCAAGGTTATGACTATTTTCTCTATCGTAATATTTTCTAAAAATGTTACGATTGGTCATAGACTCGCCAACATCATTGGCAAGCATGCAAATAAAAAAGCTTTTCTGCTCTCAAATTCCAAATATAGCTTTGTGTATATACACCCATGTTTATATTCATAAAAGTTTGTATGTCCATCATGATGACCAATAATTGTACAGACTGATATATTTTGAACTGGATTACTGCATTGATGCAAATTTGGGGAATCTTGCGAAGAGTAATAACTAAAAATTGTTATATTTTTTATTAATGAAATGAAAATATTTATACATTTTTGTTTTGTATTGAGTATAGACAACTTTTGTATTCGAAAATAGTCCTCTTTATTGCTCTTTCATTGTTTTGAGGTCGATAATCTATATATACGATTAATAATATATATAAATTGTATATATGTATATATACATAGGCAAATTTATAGATACATAATGCACATGTGAAAGTACATACTTCTGTGTATACATACATATGTGTAATATAAGCTGTTTGCGCATTTCATTTTCGGGCTGATCTAAAAATATCTTTTTGGCTTCCAAAATACATGAAAAACAAACAAAGCAACAAACAAGCAAATCGTCTTCATCATTAAAAACGGCTAGACTATTAACAGAAAGGAAATACTGAAATTATAAATTTTCAAGTATAAGAGTATTCGACTGGCACACATTGACAATGAATATTACGTATAGGCGACATAACTCTAATTAACTTATTTTAATTTTTTAATATTTAATAAGCCATGCGCAAAAAGATTTTATTAATAGTATGCTCTTACATTTGTAAAAAAAGCAAATGTTTACTAAAATAATACATCTTTAACAAACATATTCACAAAATCAGTAGTCACACAACAAATATTTGTAAATATATTTACTTATACACAAAATAAACTCACTGTTTATAAAACATATAGCTGATAAGACAATTAAATAAAGCAATCACGGAAAAATTTTGCTTAAACATAAGCCAAACATTTAAATTTCTGGCTTCTTAACTCGATCCTCGTGCATTCATGTACATGTACATGCGTAAGCTTGCATGTAAATTTACATGACAAAAGTTTGCATGGAAAGATGCAAAGCAAGTTTTAGATGTGTAGTCGATTTTGATTTTGGTATCCACAGCCGTTGAACTTCAAGCACGTCGCAAGCCAAATCTGCACTGCATACTTTAACAACGTAAAATTGGCTTTCTAAATTAAAAACCCACATATGTGACATTCTGGGCATTACAGAAAACAAACAGACCACCAATTGACTGGGAGAAAGTTCCTTTTGTGCCAAGGCCTTCACTCATCTCTGATCCGGTGACTGCTTTTGGAGTGCGTCGTTCGGACTATGAGCAGCGCAAGCGATCTATACTTGACCCAATAAATCGAGCTGCAATAAAACCATCCTATAAGATTGCCTATCAGCCTATTGAACCATACGTGTCAACTCGTGACAAAAATCGCTCGCGTATTCTAAGCATGGTGCGTCAGCACATCGATACTGTGGAAGCCGGTGGCAATACAGCAGCACGCACCTCACGCGACTCTCTCGATAGTCAACTCCCGCGCTTGCATCGCGCAGCTTCCGAAAGTCTGCCGGTGCGTCGAGAAACCTATCGCAATGAAAGGTCGGGAGCAATGGTCACAAAGTACTCTTACTAATTAATCAAAGAAAAATAATGTGCAACGAATCCAAATATTTGAAAACGAAAGAAAAGTTAACGAATTGACTGAAAAGTCTTTGATATTACAATTAGCATACACGATGTACAAGGCCATATACAGACATTCAATTGTATACAACAAATTCACATACATAAAAGATCTGACATTCTGTTCGTTTTTTATCTAATATTGCCATTAATATTGCATATGTGCTACATGAGATTTTCTTTTTTATATTTAAAATCTTTACAATCAAAATAGGTAACGCATTAATGTTTTTAAGATACGAACCTGTTTCAATTTCCTTCGATGAAGACCATGACTTGATTGAATTAAGTAAATCTAACATTAAAATACACATTATTTTCGTACTTTGTTATTTATTTATTGTGTACAAACTACTCTAAAAGAAATTGTCATAATCTCATATTTTAAAGCGTTTTTCCTAAAGCTGGTTTGCTGACAACGTAAATGTAGTACATTTTTGCTTAAATTAAGAAAGTGTCTTAATTCTACTTGATTGATTTTGACTTTCCACAGAATAGAAAAGATCTTAAATAAATTCATTCAAGTCATTAATTCTGGGATATTAAAGTAATCAGCGGACCAGCTTTAAAAAATTAGCTTTCATTTAAAAGAACAGCAAGTTGGTTTTTTTAGTTGCATAACTTTTATGCTGATTGTTCATTTTCCTTTACAATTCTTACCTAAATGCCTAAATCGGAATTTGTAGACTCCACGCTTAGATCTGTGCACGGATAGACCTGGCTCGCATCGCAGTCGTGCCTCCTCGGACTACTCGTACACCTCAAAGTCAAGTGTTGAGAAAAGCAGTTATGACTCAAGCAACCCTTATGCCAGGCCGGAACGATCCACATATACTTCCTCTGTCGAGAAAACATCGCGTAGCGGGCCAGGTGGTGCCTACAATTATAGCACCGAGCGGACCAGCACTACTGGCGCTGGACCCGGTGGCTACAGCTACTCCTCTACTACTTCTGGAAACTTACCCGGTGGCACCAAATACCGTCACTTTTCGTACCATGTCTAGGAAAATGATTTAAAAAATCAATAGCATATATGGTTTATGTGGCTCTGAAATTAACTACACTAAACGACCCGCTTAAATTGTTATATATTATTATTGCAACTTGTTATTTCTAACCACATACATGCATACACACTCGTGTATGTATAATGTTTCTGTAAACTATCTTTTACCAGAATTGTGTAAATTTTTTGATATTGATTTTATTTCGATATTAACATAACCAATAATTCATTTGATTGTTAATTAGATAGAAGTTTATAAACCAAATCTTTTTGATGTATTTACCCATCATCAAGTCATTTCAAGTATTTGTGACACAATAAAATGAAATCGCGTTCACTAAAAATATACGTATTGCATATGTACAAATAAACTGCATTATTTTTATTTCACATACGATATTCATATGAATTATACGGATGCATATAAGAACAAAATATTCCTTAGAATGTCAATTCTTTGCTTCACAATATTAGGAAGGGGGCCTAGGATATCATTGAAGATATCAACTGGATTCTATTAAACACATATCAAATGAAATATAATGTTGTATAATTCTATTTCAGTATCCATCTGCTCATAGAGTTACTCGAGTAAGTATTTAACCATTTTTGTTATAATCATTAGTTGCTTGTCATTCATTTCTTTAATGCTGTTCAAATTTTACTATCATATTTTGTTATCACACTGATTATACTTCAATTACTTCATCGTCACCTGGAATCATACGTGGTTAGTATTCTGACACTATAAAAAGTATAACAAGTAAGATAGCTCTATCCGGAAGTACCCGACTAGGAGATGCGCCGAGATGCAGCATACATTTAGACATAGAGACACGTAAAGCCTTTGGACAGTACTCTTTTTTTAACTTATTAAATTGAGAAATAGTATAAAAAGAAATGTTTTAAGAATTTAATTCTCTTTGGACTCATTGGACTTATACAAATGTTTGTAACGGCAGAAGGAAACATCCCCAACCCCATAAAGCATTAAAAGATAAATAAATAAATATATATATGTACATATAAGTAAAAAAGTTTTATGTATTTATATATATATATATATATATTATTGTTTTTTTTTTTTTTTTTTTTGTATAGATCTAGAGATCTTGTCATTTAGAGAGTAGGCCCGCGAAGTGGGAGCTTCCGATCATTGATAGCTTGTCCCATTTCCAGGAAATTGAAAAAAATCTATATCGATGCATCTCTTATGTTTTGAGTTATAGCTCCTATACCGTTTAAATAGACAAACGTATAAAATATGTCGGTAGAAGAAGGTTCTGAGTTTCTGAGTCGGGCACTCCCGACTAGAGTACTCTTACTTGTATTTTTTTTTGTTTTTCTGCTAGATCTTACTATCATGTTTTCCATAGTTCTCAACTGCATTTTGTACTTGCACTATTCTGTTGTCTTAGTACATTCACCATTATCCATGTTTTTTGTTATTAATATTACTAACTTACAAAACTGCCAAATGTATTAGGTATACAAAACAAGCTATCCAATCTACTCGAGCTATTCAATCCCAAGACGTATCGTTAGTGGAACACGTGTTATTACTTCGCCTGTTCGGGTTGTTACCTCTCCCACCCGAGTTTATTCGCGCATTTTACACTCTCCATCACCTGTGCGTGTTGTGCGTACTACAACGCGTGTTATATCATCGCCGGAGAGAACGACTTCTTACACCTATACTACGCCAACTACATACTATAGTCCAACATACTTGCCATCGACATACTACTCCTCCACCTATATCCCAACTTCGTATACAACGTACACACCATCGTATACAACGTACACGCCATCGTATTACTACAACCCTACAACTGTAACTCGTACGTATACTCGCTCGGTATCACCGGTAAGGATCACAACATCTCCGCTTCGTGTGACACCTTCATACCTGAAGAGACTACCACCTGGATATGGCGCACGGGCTTTAACTAATTACCTCAATACCGAACCCTTTACCGTAAGTTTTAAGATTTTAATATTTAAATACTTTCTTACAAAGATTTACTAAGATCAGTAAAAAGATTTACTAAGATCAGTAAAGTAGTGTTAAGATAAAATTAATTTGAAATGTTTTGTTCTTATAAATATAGACGTTCTCTGAGGAAACGAGTAGAATACGCCATCGGGCCCAATCATTAATTCGAGATTTGCATACTCCTGTTGTGCGTCGTGCACGAAGCTGTACACCGTTTCCAGTGACTGGGTAAGCTTACCATACGAGAAAAGGGTGACAGTGTATGTCCTGGAAAACCATTGAAACATGTATTCATTCAGTTCTTACGTAGAGATTTGAAAGTAACTTTAAGGCTTATTGAACGAAACTTTCAGCAAACTTTCTTTGAAAATAAGTTTAAGGGCGATCGGATAGTAAGCAAAAAAGGTTTATACATTTGTGGATGAAATTTCCCAAAATCCCGTCCAAGCTTGCACCTATGTAAATCCCTTAGCTTTTTAGCTTTACGGTTTAGGCTGTGCAATGTTCACCAATCAGTCAGTTAGGACAAACAGTTTTATCAAGAGTATAATCGTTTTTCTGGCTTATAATAAACTTTTCAAAGAGCCTCTGCGCAATTATTGCACTATTTAAATATATATATATCTATTGCTCGAAAACCAAGTGCGATAGCTAAAAAATGAAAAACACTTGGTCTGTATTTAATATTCTAGAAGCTACTGAAAACCTAAGGGATCTGTTAAAGAAACAGCATTTGGATATCGATTGCTTGGAAAAGTGCAAGCCATCGATTATCGACCTGCGCGGTCACCAGGAAAACGCTAAAAACGCTAAAAATTTCAAGTCTCTAGCTAACTTTAGGGTGTCTGATAAATATCTCTGAATAATGAGTATAAATGAAGTAGAATTTCTCTATTAATAGGAAACCGAGTCCATTATTACAAGATATTTATGCAAGCCAATGCGATCAAAATTAATTGACACTGAAAATGCATAAAATGTTTTTGAAACTTCGGTAATTTAAAGAAATTTGATTTGCATCACATAACGTAGTATTTTAGCTGGTGTAGTTGCGAAGAGAATACGAATAAAATATTGCTGTATTTTTAGGTATTCATATGGCCCGACATCTCAATTGGCTTTAGATGCCTATGTAGCACGAGTAACAAATCCCGTACGTCATATTGCCAAGGAAGTTCACAACATATCCCATTATCCAAGGCCAGCTGTAAAGTATGTTGGTGAGTAACTTAATATGTATATTTATACATATACATACATTTATATGTTACCTCAGATAAATTTGGATTACTATTGTGATATTAAATATATTGTAGTCGCAATTTGTTGTAAGCTGCATTGTTTTTGAACTTGGTATTTAATGCTGTTTCTTAAATATTAAATAATAAGGTAAAAGTCATCTTGCCTCTGTAAGGATATGTGGCGATAAGGCTTATAATATTAGAAGGCCTATGTACGATTCGGACAAAGTTCGAAACGATATTAACCTTTTGTCCTGGTACCTTAGACATCCGACTTGGAAGAATGAGAAGCAAAGCAATCAGGAAGGTAAGTACCGTTATAAACGGAATATTTTATTACACGCTTGTGAACGGCACTTGTATAAAGCAATATAGAGTTAGTGATCCTTTTAATCATAATCGTTTAACGTAATCATTTGCTGGGACCTGCCAGTTCGTTGAAAGAGTATTCAACTTTAAAATAATTCTTTTTTTTAAAGTAAATAAATATTTTTTAAAAGTTTACTGCATTTTTTTAATCCCATAATTAAATAAATCTACAATCACCTTGTAAATGGGATCAAACTTAATTCAAGTATATGTAACTAACGCATTTTCGCATCCGGATTAGTTTTGTTTCTTGTATTTGACTAACTTAATACGTTTTATGATTGATTGATTCTTTCCAGTTGCAGCTGTTGAAGTTGAGGCCTAAATGATAACATGCCTGACTTTATAATATGGACGTACACATTATATTATTTGAAATAAATAAATTCAAAGAAAAACTCTTATGTTTGCCTGTTAGAAAGTAAGGCCGATTCACATTCGCTTTACATCCAGACTAACGTAAAAACTAATCTGAACTTTTTCATTGAGATATTGATCAACAAAACTTAGAAGAATCGTTTTCAACACTAATATTTCTACATACTTACAAATAATGTTAAACAACTTTTACATTTTTGTCTTATTGTATTACCCATATGGTATATTGTATATCGTATATCGACATATATATATCGTGGCTCGACAATTGTATTTCAATTATTATACCCTGAACGCAATGAAAATGGATAAAAGGATATAATGTTTATGTGCATAAGTATGTAACGGGGATAAGAGAGCATCCCCGACCCCATTAAGTATACATATATATTTTTGGTCAGCATCAACAGCCTAGTCAATCCAGCCATGCCCGCCAGTCTGTCCGTCCGAATTTATGAACGTGTCGATCTCACAGACTATAATCACTAACCATACAATGCATAGATACATAAGTCAAACATCCAAATAATCGAAACTCGATAAATAGCAAGGGCGGAAACTCAAGGCTGCTTGCGACCATTTTGTTATGCCCAAAGAGAGTAAAACTTCTAAGAATGGCAGCTGAACGCCGGCATCAAAAGCCGAACGATCAGTATAAAGTCGCATTTCGCTCATGTTTATCCTTTAACATAAAGTATATAGACTGGACAACTAGAGTAAAAGAATAAAGCCATGCATATTTGTGTCCGCAGGTCCAAGTTCGGGTTCGCATGCTCATACTGCAAGAGAGTAAGAACGGCATCGCTGTCTTTTATCACTCTCCCATTACATGCAACTGCTTGGGCTTACTCTCATCCATATGATTTGTGCCATAGAAAGGCATCGCTGTTTTTATCTCGCTCCCACTGCAGGAAACTGCTTTGGCATACTCTCAGTGCTCTCTCAATATGTCTAGGATCTGTTTAAATTCAGTTTGTTCTCAAATGTCTGAGGCATTTCTTTCCTTTTAAATGGACTAGTAATATGAAATAATGAAGGGGTTTGACACGTCGATGGAAATTCTTGCATTTTAGCTTTTGGACTTGCTACAAACTTTCGCGCAAGTAAGGATTTAAAAAAATATTATAGGTCACTCGGTAGGGCTTGAACTTGCAATAGACCGCACCACTTGAAACCGCTTCTACTCAACAGCCACATCAAATATTAATTTTAAGCGAAAAAAAAACGAATTAAAATAGCAGCAAAACAATACAATCACAATTGCAATGCTTTTGACAGAACTCGAAGCAGTCGCGCATGAATGTGTGTGTGTACATGTGGGCACGCAAAACACATAACTTTTGTGTGTTCTTATCCGATTTTAATGAAATTTCTACATTCCTTGTTGTACCATAGAATATTTGTGTATTCTCAAAAAGTAAATTTCATTAAAATTGGGTTATTAACTTGATTTATAGCTATGAGGTAGTACCTGGGAGGTGGCGATAGGTATAGCTAGCTAGCTAGCTCTTATTATTTACAATTTGCTCAAAAACAGGATTTCGAGTTTTATTGATCGGTTTTAAACGGACTAAGTTATCGATTATCAAACTCGATCTGCGCATGGACTAGGAGGACCTACAGCTAAAGCTATTTCAAGTCTCTAGCTCTTATAGGTTCTGTGATCCTTGCATACATACGGACAGACGGACGGACTGACAAACAGACGGACATGGCTAGATCGACAGGGCTGTTGATGCTGATCAAGAATATATATACTTTATGGGGTCGAAGATGCTTTCTTCTGCCTGTTACATACATCTGCACAAATACATTATACCCTTTTTACCCATTTTTAATGGGTTCAGTGTATACAAGTGTAATTCTTTTTGGAATAAAAAGTGTTTAGTTAGGAATAGGGGACCACGGGCTATTCACAATTTTAACAACGGATATCCGTATGTACATGTTGTGTATTGTTTGTAAGATTATATAATTGTATGAAAACAAATGTACGTATTCTTATCTTAATGCCAATTTACAATAATTGAATTTATTATCACATGGGAATTCCTATGACCTTGACCTATATATATTTATTAGTCATGATTTGCTGTTATATATGAAAATATATCTCTGAATATCCTAACATACTCGGTACCTAGGTAGTTTATATCTCCAAGCAAAAGGCGATAGTATACTAATATTAAAGCAACTATAAGAGGTATTTAAAAATAAATTTACGCTTAACCTTATATGCTTTACGATTTGGTTTTTTAGCTCTTCTAATCTGGCAGATAAACAGATAGAGATAGATAGTTTTCGATTTTTAGGAAATTTCATTTAGATGCTTCCTCGGATACATAGAATGGAGATAATATGAGCTAAACACACTGATATAAGTATATAGTGCAGAAAACACAAACAAATGGTTCTAGTCGGGAGTTCCCGTCTAGGGAATACCCTGAACTCTCTTCTACCAGCACCAAATGCAGCTCGCGCTACGAGCTCGTTTGCTTTAGCTGGAATAAAAACAAATTTAAGAAAAACGGGAAAGAAGTTCGATCGTTCCTATGGAAGCTATATGATATAGTGGTCCGATGTAAATAAAATTTTGCTTTAATGAACATCGTGATACTTATAAGTACTGAGTTTGGTCAAGATGTCTCGGAAAAAAATTAGAACAACAAAATTTTCGAACGATCGTTCCTATTGCAGCTATATGAAATAGTGGTCCGATCCAGCCGGTTCCGAAAAATGTACTGCGTGCAACAGAAAGTGGTATAGTTTATTGTGTCGGAGATGTCTTTTCCTATGCGATACACATTTCATGAGAAAATTTTAATACCCTTTGCAAGGGTATAAAAATACCCGTAACAGACCATGGTATTGCTTAAACGATCTTGATACAATTTTGAACAGTTGAACTTATCGTAGAGTAGAACTAGTACTGAGACAACAAGTATTTGGTGCGGCAAGGTTTTCATACCCTTATTTATAGAAATGGAAATTAAAGAAAATATTTATTAATAATTGTACCAATAGTGCACAGTAAATACGAAGTGTTATATTTCTCTGACATTGAATACAAATTTGTGAATAAGAAGGTTTGTGGTCCTTGGATACAGCACTGATCAATAGATATATTATGCTATTGTTCCAATATTGAAAATGTAAATGGTATTTGAACGGATTTTAGTGCGCTTACTTTTATAAATTTGATTACAGATTTTGTGAAGCTTCCGCTTTTGATGAGCTAGTTGCTACCTATAATGGATGTGCCATAAGCGTATGTTGCAACAGTTGTGCAATTAGAAACTGGCATGTCAGGAATGATGGCAATTTCTGAAGTCTATTAAACTTTCAGAAGTTAGGCATTTTATCCATGAATAGAATTTGTTAATGCTCTGAGGAGATGTTGTATTATTATTTTATAGTTTATTTATAGTATTTGGGTGGTTTAGATGTAGTTTGTGTGTAAATTAAATTTAATGTCAGCTTTGATATGCATGTGTAGCCTTCGAGATTTCGGCATCGACTAACTTTTTTTTTCGTATTACATGATATTTGCATTGTAGGCTATGAATCAATAGTACTGATTATTTTGATTTCGATGTCAGAATATATGAATGATTTCTCCTCGTACTCAAAGGATGTATACGACTCTTTCATGTCTCTTGTACATACATAGCATGTATTATATACGTCTATTTAAGATCAAAAATATTTATACGCACACTAATTTTATAAAAAAATTTCACTTGGTTTGCTCTAACAATTCACATGTACATCTCATTTCGTGCACATTTAAACCCCAAGATTCCAAATAATAAACTCATTAATTACGAAACGATTACTCTATTACTGGAGTCTTTCTTTATCTGCAAGTCTTCATTATTGACGTATAGGCCAAAATCTCTGCAATCACAAATAGTAAGTACATTTTTATTATTTTATTAAATGTAATGCAAATTTTTAAGGTTATGATATATATATATATATGTAAAAAATATATAAATATATCTATATATATAAAAAATATGTATTCCCAAAAAAATATAAAAATAAATAACAATATTTTAATTCTATTTTCAATTGTAATCCTAACATTTATATAACGAGATTTGGCTTTCAGATGCCGAATTGGATCCAAATCGCCCCACAAGAAAATTTTCTGCTCCCCGACCCCTCGAAGATGCTATCGATCTCGAATCTAAGGAAAAGCAACGTCTTCGTCAGGAGCGTCTATTGACTGTAAACGAAGAGGCTTTAGATGAAGTAGATAAGAAGCAAGTAGGATATCAGAGTGCTGATGAAGCAAAACATCGTGAAGATAAGTAAGCGAGCTAGAACTTATTAATAGGCTTCACTGGTTTTAATGTTATGCCAAATTGCAGCGCCGCTAAAGCAAGAAAGGAACGTGAAGCAGCGGATAAAAAGGCCTTTGCTGAGGAACAGCTCCGGTTGGCGGAAGAAGCCCGTGCTGCGGAAGAAGCTGCTAAAGCAGAACGATTAATCAAAGAAGCCCGGCTTGCTGAGGAGGCTCGTTTAGCTGAAGAATCAGCCCAGAAAGCATTAGAAGAAGCCAGAGCCGCTGAGGAAGCTGAGGCCCGTAAAGCTGAAGAAGAACGTTTGGCTCAAGAAGCCCGCAATGCCGAAGAAGCTCGTTTGGCTGAAGAAGCGGCTCAAAGAGCAGCAGAAAAAGTCAAAGCTGCAGAAGAAGCCGCAGCGCGTCAGGCTGAAGAGGAAGCCCGTATGGCCGAAGAAGCTGCGCAAAGAGCAGAAGAGGAAAAAAGAGCAGCAGAAGAGGCTGCTCGTAAAGCTGAGGAAGATCGCTTGGCTGAGGAGATTCGTTTAGAGGAAGAAAAGCGTTTGCGGGAGCAGGAGTTGAATCGCCTGGCCGAAATCGAAAAACAAGCTGAGGAAGAGCGTGAAAGCGAACTTGCACGCCAAGCTGCTGAATTGGCCGAAATTGCCCGTCAAGAAGCTGAAATTGTGGCTCAAGAGCTGCAATACATTCAAAAAGATGGTGGAGATGTTGTAGAGCCTTTAATTGATGAGCCAACCACACCTGTAGAACCCATTGAACAGGAAACAATCATAGATTTGAATTCAAAGATGAGAGATATTTCTATTGAACTGGAGAATTCTGGTGAAAGTTATATAGAAGTTGCCGACACCGAAGAAGAAGAATAATCTGTTTAATCAGTTATCGATCATTGCCGACGTACATTTAATTAAATCTTTACATTAATATCTATCGAAATTAATTAACTTTTTTATGAGAATTGGACAATATAATGGTTAAAAATAATTTATTAATACTGTATTTGCTCTAAACTTAATTGGAAACTTTAAAATCAAATCTTATGACATTTATTTTGGCAACGATTTTAATAGAAACTAATACTTTTAGCTAGATGAAAAATTATTTAAAATTAAATGTCTTTAAACTAAAAATGAAAATCATTTAACAAGTGCACTCTAGTCGGTAGTAAAAAAAAAATCAAACTTCTTCCCACCCATGCACACACACTATTCGACTTTTCGTGCTGTCTGACATACCTGCCGGAATTCAGTGTCCACACTGATTGACCACTACCGAGTGGAGTATACTAGTTGGCCTCTTACTACAAGGAAGTGAGAACGGCTTTTTGGCCCCGATTGCTATTAATTTAACGCTCGAAGCTCACTTCTCTGTGCTCTGAAGTATTGCAGCAGTTTTTAGATTGACTAGAGTTATACGAGTATACTACTTTAAGCCGAGATAACTAAATAGTAGTAAAGCCAACTTGGGTTTCTGCGTGTGGATTTGTTTAAGTAACTTAAAATGTTGTCCTCCTAAAGAATCTTGTTCTATTTTTTTTCATGTTTACAATAAGACCACTGATGCTGACCTTACTTTTTCCTTCTAAGTCATAATGTTTGTTGACAGGCTATATAATTTTACCCATCACAGGTTTGTTTAGTGCGTTATTCGGGAAACAGATATCTTGGTTTAATCTTTGTTTTGATTCATTCAGCCGTGTTGTGCACTAATAATGGCATTAATACCAACATACCGAATCCGTCGTTTCTTGAGGCTGATTTTGCTCAGATATTAATATTGACATTGACATTGATATGTTATGAAACCCTTAACGCTCTCTTTTGTATATGTGTTCCATTTGATTAACCAGTTAGGCCTGATAGGATTGTCTAGCTTATAAAATAAGTAACGAGAATAAAATAAATGTAAAGTCTATATATTATAAATATTTCAAAAAACATGGAAATCACGCTGATTTCACCGGCCTGATTAATATTCTCTACACAAAGTTAAAGTCGAGTTTTAATTTAATTTAGTGCATTCGCCTTGCTTCGCCAGCGGGAAGTCAGCGGAAAGTGCATTAATTGTACTTTTATAGCCATCAACAATTTGATTTTTTCAATATATATTAATTCATAATAAATTTTCACTTCTCGTTTTTTGTTTTGCAAGCTGTTTGAAAAGTTTAAATTCAATGTTGTCAATTGTAGATGCATCTTTATTTGATGGCTTTCTAAATTCAATTATCAATATAATATTTTTGAGCCTCATAACAAGTCAGTGCATATCTGTTGTAATTATGAGGTTTCTTACTTACTTACTCCTGAATGCCTAAATACATGAGCTTAGAAGTGCTTTAAACAGTTATTTATCAAAAAGTCAAATTCAGACGGATTATTTAGTATACCCCCATCCGTACTGTTGCTTCGTTAAATCTGATCTGGTTGTATTATAGGTTAAAAGCAACTGTTAAAATAAAATTTGAGACAACATAACAGAGCCAATTTTCCGTTTTGGCAACATTTAATAATTTGGAAGTATTTTTCTTAATGCAAGAGCAAATTTATTTGTAACCATATTTTTTCGGTTATCCTTATCTTAAATGATTTATGCAGAATTCCTTATGGGTAGACGAAACACAATCACAATACAAACTGGAATAACAATAGGAGAAAGAAAGGAAAAAGAGTATAAATATTAATAAATATATTCTTAAACGTTATATTAGTTATACAAAATAACTACTATAATTATGTTATGCGGCACTTATAGGATACAAATAAAAACAAGTAAAAGGTTCTAGCCAGGAGCTCCCGACTAGGGAATACCCTGAACCCTCTTATTCCAACATCAAATGGACCTCGTTTAAAGTAATAAGGATAAATTTAAAATTTGTGTTTTTATTTCATTTTTATTTATTTTTATTCCAGCTAATGCACGAAAGTTCAGGGTATTCCCTAGATGGGAACTCCCGACTAGAACCTGTTATTTGTTATATATGATATAGAATTTTTTAATGAATACACTGTGAAAAATTAAATTATGTCATCTTTCATCTTTTATGTATAACTCGAGGGTATCGCGAATACAACTTTGCTTTCTTGTTATCCTTAGAGTATGTATGGTATATGGGCCGCTAAAAGAGGGGAACATTTGTAGTACTTACCGAAAAGAATAAAGGTAAACAATGAAAAAGTTGTGTTACAATACGGGTGTAACATTACACCAATTAGATTAGTTGCTGCAATAGTACCAAGTCGTCCCAATGACATGCACAAACTAACAGCTTTTCCTCTAAAATAA